TAACTTACAACTTTTTATTTTTATATCTTTCAATTCATTCATAATTTACATATAGTGTATTATATCAAATTTATAGATTTCGTGTGTAAAATTTTATAAAATTGACTCAGTTGAAAACTGAAAAAAGTGAAATTTGAGATAAATTTTATAATTGTTAAAATTGTGCCTAATTTATCATAATTGAATATTAAACTACAAGCCTAATTTATAAAAATAAAATATTATAATACTATTTCCTTGGTGATAGCTAAAACTCAATAATCATGACTATATGGAAAAGGCCACAAATTGATCATGTCAGACTACATATTGAAAAAGAAATCCACCAAGGCCACGAGTTGATCATGTTTGACTAACGATTTGACAATTCATTTGGCGATTCGTCCTTAGGTTGCTCATTTCTAATGTTTCATCATTAAAAAAAATCAATGACTTCTTTCAAAATGATGGATGAAATTAGAGCATCTTTTAGAGTATTTCATCATTTCTGGTGATTTTAAAATAATCTCAAAATTGAGGCCAAAATATTTTCATCAATAGCAATCGAAAATATGTGAATTAAAACTTCCCACTCATGATAATCCCATAACTTGACAATAAAATAACAACAATATGCAATAACAGCAATCGCAATCGAAAATACAGTAACTCATCGTTTGATTGAACGTTATGATGCCCTCCAGTTGATGTAGGATGCGCTATGTGTGCTACAGAAGATCGCTCCTTAGGAGGTTGATTAAAAAAACATTTTTTGTATAGTTTCTCAACACGTTTATAATATTCCTTGGGTCATATACTTTTCTTTTCGCTTTTTGCTTATGAACGGGAGTTAAACAAAACCACGACGAAACGACACAATTTTATTGTTGAATTCCAAGAAAATACAAAGATAACTCCATCAACAAGAATAAAACAACATAAAATAAGAAATAAAACCATAGAGACACATATGGTTCTCTCAAGAGGAGGGCAGCAGATCTGACTGGAAAGGAAGGGGGTGTGGTAGTGTCGGAGGGAACCGGAAAGGCATAAGGCTACTGGCAGGGTGCAAGGGAAGGTGGGCAGCGACCAGAAGATGATGACGGAGGCCTGGACAGCGACCTAGAGGGTAGACAGTGACAAGAAGATGAAGACAACGTCTGGACAGCAATCTGGAGCATGAACATCGCCCGAAAGATGGCGACGGCTGCCAAGAGAGCAAATTAGAGAGTGAACAGCACGTAGAAGTTAATGATGGTGGTATGGAAAGCAACTTGAAGAGTGGACAACACTCGGAAGATGACGACAGTGGGTTGCGATGGGGCATTGGAAGGATAAATATATCAACGGGGTCGAGTCATAGCCACAACACCACCCGGATCCTTGGAGCCAGTCACTACCTTGGACGAGTTACAACCGGAGCACCTCCTCGCCGTCGGATACAGCCCTCAAAAAGGAAAAAAAGCCTCAAATGCAGCAAGCTGAAATCTGAGATAATCAAAACTAATCCCTAGCACTACCAACAACACATTTAAAATAGGAATTAATAAATAGAATAGGTTGGGATCATAATAAGAAAGAGATAAAAAAGCAAGAGCATAGAATAGGCAAGGAGTAACATAGAAAAATAATAGAAGAGGAAAGGGAATAAGAACGAAGCGAAAAAGGAAAAAGGAAAGTGCTGGATCGTGGTATTTTAGCTTCTAAAGTACTGCGACGGTAAGCTCCCGCATCAATCTCCCGGGGTTTAGAAAGTATTAACTTCATTCGTCGAAGTTTTTGGTTCCTTACAGCAAAAAGTCAAGTTTGTCACATTGATGATAGCAGAGATATTTCAATCTACTACGAGGTTGATTATATAGGTGTTGTCATTCCACAACACATTCCGGTAGAGTAATTATCTGTTCTCGTTTGGCACAACCTGAGCTGACACCGTAGATAGACGAGTGTTTTCACGAATCAGACGTCGAGTCATCTTATTTGTAAATTGTTTATTCCATTCCTCGCAATCAGCCAAATGTACCTGATAAACCAGCGTGTGAGGAGAAATCAACTCGAGTTAAATCTATGGCAGGATGCACCCCTCTCACTAACAACCACTAAAGAGAGACATCTTTTTCATCGATAACACTTGAATCCAACTGAAGAATTTTCATCACCATCAAGTTCCTCAGGCCCATTACAAGGCTAAGGTTCATCTCTCCTATCCAGACATCAGACGATAAGTACCATGCTAAACAGAAAAAAAAACTTTTGAATGTCACATAATATTCCCGACATGGAACGAAATAACCCTACTTCTGACATGTTGGACCTTTCTTCGTAAGGATAACACAAGAAAGGGGTATATATCTGCATTTCTTTTATTTGTGGTGGAACTGTATCCAATGTCCGCTTCTCAAATTCATGACCCTTTTGGACATCCAAGGTGATTCCTGCCGATATTCCTCTCAATGCCTGTAAAATGCTAGTTTGAAGCACTATGAATGCTCGTTACATCAGAGTTACTATCTTCTAGAACAGTTGTTATTACCTCAGCTGGAATCTCTTTCTTGGGATCAACTGGAATTAATCATGTTTCTTCCTCGTTGGCTGAAAAATTGAGAATTCACTTTGAAGTTGACATCTTTCGGATCATCGTTTATCTCTTCAACTGAAAATTGGTCCTCTGCCTTCATGTCCTCACCATCTTAAGTGTCTACTGTATTATTACATAATCTATGAAAAACACCCTCCTCCGTAAAACAGATCGCCGCACTAGTTGTGCAGTTTGATTCAACATGCCCAAATTTGTGGCACTAGCAACACTTCCTGGCTGGGACAAAATTAGAAATACGGATTGGTTTTACATGTTCTCCACTTTAACTCAGTTTTTTCTCTGACGAGGTCAGTTTGGATATTCTTCTACATGTAATCTAACTGTAAGATCCTAAGATTAAGCACTGCCTATAAGACGTGGTGGTCGCCCGGTGAAGTGGTCTCTCCACTTCTGAAACAAGAGTTTGCATATTTTTTCAGTAGTAAGCTGGTAGGAACTGGTTCTAGACCTCTAACTTCATTCCCAGCATCTCTCGCGTTACATATGTTACCTCTTCTCTCGACCTTCTCTAATATTCTATTCCACAACATCGTGGTCGATCTTCTGCATCAATAAAGTCCTAATAGAGGGACTCAATTCCTCGTCTATGGCTCTCATTTGACTTTCTAGATCTCGGTTGAGGGACATCTCCCCCAGGATTTCAACCTCATTATTTGCAAGCCTCCGCTAAAGTCAGCGGATCTCTCGTTGTATCTCCTCCTGGTGAGGCTCAAGCAAGTATCTCTTTAGTGGCATGGCTAAGTTTTAGGATTGTGAGGTGAAAAAGAGTGTAAGAAAACTAAGTTGCGGTTGTTGATTTAAAAAATCAGCAAAGAGGATATTATGGTTAGTCAAAATTTGGCAAGGATTTGAGAATAGGAAAAAAATTTTGGTCGAGGTGACTTGGGTAGGGGCGGATGCAAGGAAACCCTAAGATAGGACAAGAGTTAAGTTAGCTCTAATACCACATGATACCATAATCAACCCAAATTACAACCGAACGACAATTTTATTTTTGAATTCAAAGAAAATACAACGATGACTCTCAAAATAGAAAAACACCAACATGCAAACTATTAAATGCCAATGAAGACTAACTCCAACAAGAATAAAACAACACAAAATAAGAAATAAGCTGATAAAAACACATAAAAGGCTCTCTCAAGAGGAAGGCGGTAGGTCCGATTGAAAGGAAGGGGGGTGCGGTAGTGTCGTAGACGTAGGGTTGCTGACAGGTTGATGGCAGGTTGCAGGGAAAGGTGGGCTGTGATTGCAAGATGAGGACGGAAATTTGGACATTGACCAGGAGAGTGGACAACTACTGGAAGAAGAGGAGGGTGATCTGGACAACAACCTAGAGGATGGACAGCACCCGAAACCGGGAGGGTGGACAACACCCAGAAGATGACGCAGCGGGTTGCGATGTGGAGTTTGAAGGATAAATATCTCGGTAGGGTCGAAATAAAGAAGGAGAACCAGCCAGACCCTTATAGACGGTCACCACCCTGGACGAGTTACAGTCAGAGCACCTCCTCGTCATCGGATACAGCCCTCAGAAAAGAACGCCTCAAAGGCAGCAAACCAAAATTTGGGATAATCAAAACTGTACCCTAATTCTATGAACAACATATTTATAATAAGGATTAGTATATAGAATAGGCAAGAATCAGAAGAAGAAATAGAAAAAGAAGGGCATAGAATAGGCAAGGAGTAACATAGGAGAATCATAGAAATGAAAAGGGAATAGGAGGGAAGCGAAAAAGGAAAGGAGTAGGGGTGGGCTGCAATATTATAAAAGTTACAATATTGTGACAATAAGTTTGTGCAAGCGCATACTTCCTATCAGCGCTCGTAATTCAGTTAAAATTAACTTCTTAATTAGCTCTTCAGTTGCCTTTGAAATTACTTTGTTACTTGATCAAATAACGTAATGAAAAGCCAAGTGACCAGCAAACTACCTGTCTAGATACGAATGCTGAAAAGCAAAATTTAATATACAATAATACAAATACACCTAATTTCAAGCTAAGATAGCTAAATCATATTAGAAAAAAAATACGCTACGAGCCATCTATACATGTCTATTTAAACGAAAGCCTACAATGAACATTCTAAAGTTGCAAAAGAAAAAATGGGGAATGCAAAATTTAATAGCAAGAAAAATACTAAACATCTATTGTATAACATAATAATTCTCTTCGCAATAATTCTAAGTGCTAAAATCATCACTAAATAGCTTTAAAGAGCCGGGAAGAAAAAGAAAAACACCAAATAAAATATAATCATCTTTATTTCCACAATTCAATAATCTGATATCTTCCAAAAGTGGCAAAAGAAGTTATAAATAATTTAAATTTTCTAAATGGTTAAATATGAAAGGTTAAATCCGAGGTGATAAACATTGTGCAAAAGAAAATTAAAATTGAAGATATGATATTTGCACCTTTCTAACAAGCTCTGATAGCATGTCAAGTGTGGACAAAACTCTGCGGCCTTGGGTGAGTTGAGCCCTAATACCAATAGAAGGAAAAGATCACTCATGCATATTTTTTAAGATACCATGCAGTCAGCATTGTCCCTTGTTTATTACTTCAAACTCAAGAAATATAATTTGTTGAGTCCATTTACTGAACAAATGAAGTTTATAAGATAATCACAAGCTATTGAGGAGACCTCGAGGTATTAATATAATCAAAGGCTAAAAAAGCATCAATAAACTTGATATGTAGACAAAAAAACAATTATAAAAAAGACAATAGAAATGCTAACCTTGAAGGATTTAAATTAAGGAATTTACAAAGATACCAAATAATTCTTATGTATTTACATATCTAAAGATTAAAATTTAATATATCTATAAATATCACATCAATATGCCACTATTACTATTTTTTTAAAAAAGTGAATACACTTTTTCATGAAGAGGATATAATGTGAGCATTGCACTAAATTGTTATATTTGTAAATATCAAACTTTATATTTTAGATATGTAAATACATGAGATTTGTGTGGTATGCATGCAAATTCCCCTTCAAAATATGGTCGTGCCTAATCAACTACGACCTAAAACTTTCATTTTACTTCCAACTATTGAAAGTTTTGGCACCATTTGGCAATGATTTCTGCTGTCAAGTTTTACTATTTCATAATGGAATAAATTTTTTTATGTCTGGTAAAGGATACTCCAGCTCCTGTGATCAACATATTAACTCTAGCAAAGTCCAAAATAAAAAAATAAAAAATTTCGCAATAATTGGATTTCCTTTCTAGAAATGCACTTTCAGGTAACTTTCACTTTTTCACATTTAGGACAAAAATAACCTCGACATCTCATTAATCATGGCATATTACATGTTAAATATTTACAAAAGATGAACTATTTCATTACAAAAATAATTTAGGCAATTTAAATAAGAGATAACCAATAACGAAAAAATAAAAAAACTAATCTTATCAATTAGCTTAATTAGGGATAAACTAGTCCAATTAGTCTAATTAGTCTAAAAAGATGAATTAACAAATAAAATACGTGAAGTGATTATCAGGATAAAAAATTATTCCAAGGGGGCACACATGAATACTTAAGAATTTACTTAGCATAGAATACTACGAAGAAGTCAATAATTTTAACATTACAGTACACTAACTGATAGGACAATTAAAGATTAATTAGTCATCTAAATACTCGAACAGTTTTTAGTAGACTTAAATTTCTTATTTTTAATTCATTCATTAATTAAAAAGCCAAATAAATTAGGTTTTAATTAATTAAAAAAATTAATTAGCCTTATTAGTTATGCCAGGTAGCAAAATTTTCTCTAATTACAAATTAAATTGATCAAGTATTCACTATTATTAAGCTAAAAAATGTTTTCTTAATATTTATACACTTATTAATATAAAATGAATAATTTAACCATCTATGTATTACTACAGTTGAGAGAATCAAACCCTCCTCGTCGACATTGATATCCTACCAAATGATAGAATAAATAATAAGTTAATCACTTTCTGATGTGGGCATTCATCTCTTTGACAAAAATTGAGACCCCTAATACAACATGTAAATCTCCAAAAGTGATCGTCAACTCCTCAAAGTCAATCTAACATGTGTTGTTGCCGAAATACTAAAAAATCATACCCCGAACCAAACAGGAGAAATGTACTAGAAGTCAAATGGAGACGCAAAATTGCCATGTAAATCTCAAATGCCCTTAACGTGTCTTTATGTCCTTACAGAACATATCTCACACAAATCACATATCCACGTGGGACTAAGAATCTGACCTATGGTAATAAGAAAACTATTGCAAAAGAATCAACTTTTTAAATTCACCAGGGAAAATGATCATAGAATTCGAGAAAACCAGAACAAAAAAAGATATATAAACACAGAAGCACTATCAAAGCAATCAGAAAAAAACACAATGATTTTACGTGGAAAAACCCGAGAATTGGAAAAAACCAGGAAGCCACACCACCACAAATTCCACTATATAATTCAGAAAGTTACAAAAGACTCACACAATTTTCTTCTTCACACTCATACAAAGAAACTTACAGGACTTGCACTAACAATCTTCCACCTTAGATACGACGGAAAAATCATATCAAATCATCGAAATCCACCTCTTTGACACTCCTCACCTTCACTAGTATGCTTGTCAAAGAATACAAAAGAAAGAAACAGCGGCGCTCAATAAAAAATCTTGAAATCAAGATTAAAAATAGTAATCTTGTCACTAACTGTTCTGAGCGCCTAGGCACCCAGACTTGGAGCCTAGGAGCCGAGCTCTCGGGTAGCTAGTGCCCCCAACACCTAAGCACCCACATTGGGCGGCTAAGCGCACAGAATGGGCGCAGAATTTCCACTTGCTTGGCCTAGAAACACTTAATGGGCACTTGAGTGCCCATAGCCCGGCACCACAATTACTGAGAAAGCCAACCTACCTACTGCTCATGGGTGCCGCAATCAAACTCCACACCTAACAATCTCCAATTTAGAGACTAATAGCACCGAGTCCAGTCCTACATACCTGCACCGACATTTGAATCGTCTTCATAGTCACGTATTGTGATCACGTACCATTGTGTGGCTCCCCCTGGTCTCAACATTCATGAAACTCAACTGAAGTCGAGCACAGCTTTAGTTTCTCAATAGTGACCTCCTTCGTCAACATATCCGCAGAATTTTCAGTTGCATGTATCATTTCCAGAAATAACTATCTACTTCTAGAAGAAATCGAATGAAATGATACAGGAGCTGGATGTGTTTCGCACTGGAATGAAAAACAGTGTTCTTAGCAAGATGAATCACACACATACTATCACTGTAGAGGTTTATAATTCCATGCTCCTTGCCCAATTTTGCCATGAAATTCTACAGTCAAATCATTTCCTTGCTAGCATCAGCAATAACAACATATTCGACTTCCATAGTTGAAAGTGCAACGATCTTCTGCGATTTAAAAAAACAACTCATTGTTGTGTTCTCCAATGTAAAGATTTACTCTGTTGTACTTCTCTTACTGTCCACATCTCCTACCATATTTGAATCAATGAATCTCTATAGACTAATCCTTGCATTTCCATAACAAAGCACCCTGTTAATTGTTCCTCTCAAATGCCTGAGAATTCAATTTATCGCCTCTTAAAGATGTCTATCTGGATTTTCTACGTACTAGCTGACCACTCACTGCTTATGCAACATCTGGTCCGGTACAAATCATCGCATACATCAAACTTCCCACTACTGAAGCATATGGAGTTCTCACCATCTATGCTTGCACTACTTCGAAGTTTCGTTATAGCTTCTTAAAGAGTTTGAAGTGACTACTTAAGAGAGTACAAATTGGTTTCGCCTCACTCATTTTGAACCAATGTTGAATCTTTTCAACATACTCTGCTTGAGACAATATAAGTGTTATTGCACTCGTGTCTCTGTTGATTCTCATTCCGACGATATTCTTGGTTGGACATAAATCATTCATCTCAAACTCACTTGATAACTGTTTTAACAAGTCATTGATTTTCTCTATATCTGCACAAGCAATCAACTTGTCATCCACATACAAAATAAGCAAAATATAATAGTTACCCGAATGTTCGATGAAAAAACATTGGTCTGTATGGCATTTCATGTACACATTGTCTAACATAAACTTCTCAAACCTCTTGTACCACTGCATCGGGGTTTGTTTCAATTCATAGGACTCTTCTTCCATCTGCAAACCAAACCACCTTTGTCTAGGACCTTGTAACCATGTGGTTGCACCATGTATAACTCCTCCAGATCTTCATGTAAAAAAGTTGTTTTACATCCAACTGCTCCAGATGTAGATCTTCCATTGTTGTCAGACTCAGCATAACCCTGACAGTCGTCACCTTCACCACTGGGGAGAAGATTTCTATGTAATCCATTCCTTCCTTCTGTTGGAAACCCTTCACAACAAGTCTTGTCTTGTAGCGCATGCTACCATCTGACTCCTCTTTCACATTGTAGACCCACTTGTTGTACAATGATCTTTTGTCATTTTGTAATAACGTCAAATCCCAAATCTGATTTAACTCCAAAGATTGCAATTTTTCATCCATGACGAGCTCCCACTCCCTTAAGTCTTTAACTTGAGTGGCTTCCACAAAGAACTCTGGTTCAGCACTACCAATTAATAATAAATAGTGCAAAGAAGAAGAATAACTTGAGTGGCTTCCTCAAAGAACTCTGGTTAAGCACTTCTTATTTCTGACAAACTGTCATTTGTTCTGATTTTATGCTTGTACATCTCCATTTTGTTGAAAGTGACGCCCTTGCTTTTGATGAATATCTGATTCTGATAATCCCAAAATTAGTACCCAAGCTCATCTAAGTTATATCCAATAAAGGTGTACTTGATAGAGTTTGAGTCAATCATGCTCCTAGACTTGCATCAACATGCACATATGCAGAAAATCCAAATACTCTTAAAAGGAATAGAGATATTTTTTTGTCATTCTAGGTTTCTTCAAATAAGTCTTTCTCCAAAGGTCTGATGGACTGCGATTGATCAAATAAATTGTAATATTTACTGTTTTAGCCCAAAATTGTTTTCGCAAGTCTGCATGCAGTATCATTTAGAGCTATAAAAAAAGCTCGTTCGCGAACAGTTCATGTTTGGTTCACCAAGGAGATCGTGTTCGATTCGTTCGATAAGCAAACGAGATTTGTTAAAGAAATCAAACACGAACAGATGTGTTCGTTCGTGTTTGAATCGTTGTTGTTCGAAATATAAAATAATTTAAAATAATTATATATAAAAAATTTATTATATTTTTAAAAGATAATTTATACTCTAAAAATTTATCAAATTAAAAAAAATTGAATTTGATCAAATAAACAACTGTTGATCAAACAAACTGCAGTGTTTACTGCTTTAGTCCAAAACAATTTTTGGCAAGCCTGCATGCAGTATCATTTAGGGCTGTCAAAAAAGCTCGTTGTTCACGAACAGTTCGTGTTCAATTCGTTCGATA